AGGCTGGTGCTGTGGGGGTCCCTCTCAGGGCCCTCGGCACCTGGGGACTGCCCCTGCACCGGCTGGTGAACATCCCGAGGTTCCTCATCAGTGCCCGAGGATGGGGCTCGGAGTAGATGAGGATGGTCCGCCGCTGTCCTGAGCCAGTGGATGGCATGGAGGCAGTCTCCAACCATCGGTGCGGTGGTCTTCTCCTCCGTGTGAGCCTGGATGTGTGCGTTTGCTCCCCCTTTTGAGCCATCATAGATCGTCCTGATCTTGTCCGACTCATCAATCCCTGCAAGGGGGCCCGGGCAAAGTTCCTCCGGTTTGCAGCGGCACCTCTCTGCCGCCTCGGAGCGTGTGAAGGGCCCGTCCACCATGTCCAAGGCAAGGCTCGTTCCTCGTAAAAGGTTGATTCGATTTCCTTGGCAAAGAGTTCAGCCGTTGGGTAGTTATCATGAGCCACTGGCGCGGGGGGATCTTCCCCCAGCCAGGCTTCTCCCTTAAGCTCCTCCTTAGTGGGCCCCTCGGCACCTGTGTCCCCTGGTTCCCGGGGCACTGGCCCCCTGGGATAGGGGTGAGAACATCTCAGGGCCCTCGGCACCTGTGTCTCCCCCCCCTCCAGGCCCCTTCGGGGTTGCGTGTCAGGGCCTTCGGCACCTGCGCTCCCCGCTGGCCGCGGGGCTGGGCTCTGGGGAGGGCGTATCAGGGCCCTCGGCACCTGCGCCCTCTCCCCCTGCCTCCTTGCCTTGAGGCATGGGGGGAAGCGTCCTCGGCACCTGCGCTCTCCACCCCTCACTCAATTTCCGGGAGGACGACCGCCTCCTTGTCCGACTGAGTGTCCACGCTCTGCCAACCTGCTGTCCCGGGGTGCTGAGCCGGGCCTCATGCTCGTACTTCATCTTGGCGATGTAGAAGGCCTCCACAACGCGCTCCAGGCCCCCCTGCTTGAGTTGGGGGCCCTCAAAGCCTCGCAGGAGCCGCTGGACATCCTTGGCCTGCAGTCGGCGGAGCCTAGTGGCCGTGGTCGCATCGAAGCAAGGGAAGTCGCCCGCCATCTGGTCGTCGCTGAACTGGTAGAGGCCCTCCGAGACCTTGAGGGCCTTGGTGAACACGCTCCCCCCCGGCGGGGGGGCTGCGGGGTTCTCATCCTCCTCCGAGGACGCCTGCTCCTTGACCTTCGCCATCAGCTCCCGGCGCCTCTGCCACTTGGCGTCTGCCCGGGCATCCAGGCGGGCCTCCTCCAAGCGGGCTGCAGCCGAGGGGAACCTGGGCATCGGCAGCTCCTTCTCGTCCTTCGCCAGGAGCTCCTCCATGGGCACGTCCTCCTCCGGCGGGTTCAGGAGCTCCAGGAACGCCCCTGAGGGGCGTGTCAGGGCCTTCGGCACCTGCGCCACCCCAGGGGCTGCATCTTCCATCGGCTCATCCTCTGCCTTGCGCTTGGCCGGGATAAGGGGGGCCTGCTCCAGCTCATCTGCGCTGGAGAAGAAACGCTCGTCAGGTGCCTGAGGGACCTCAGCAGCCAAAACGGTCCATCCTTCTTCCTCCCTCTTCACGAGGTTCGCCAGGTACTTTGCCATGGAGGCCTTTGCCTTAGCCTTGGCCTCTGCTGCCGCGGCGCCAGCGTAGGCGGGGGCGTACATGGCTTTGAGAGTAGGGGAAAGAAAGATTTCAAATCACAAGACAAAGGATCAAAAGGTCCACTTGAGCCAAAATGGTGGCCCAAGTGGATACTTATTAAGAGTCAAGACAAGCGACCACCTACGGTTAACGCTTTAGCCCAGCATGATTCTAAATAAAATCCACCAAAGGCAAAAGGACTGCAAAAGCGTCTTCTGCCACGCCAACCGAATCCGTCGTGTCTCAGTGCCTCTGCAAGGCATTCCCAGTGCAGTAAGGAGCCGTCCTCGCGGGCAAACGGCTGAGGATACGGATGTCAGAACGAGGTGCTCACTCAAGGGATCATTTCCCCTCTGACTCTCTGTGAAATCAACAAACAGAGAAGTTCTGAATGCTGGAGAAGCCATTCGTTATAACTCGCGGTGACTTCTGTTCTCACATCCATTGTCCTCCGGGCCAAAGACTCGGATGTGGTCGTCACCACAAGCTGAGGCGATATGGTCGTTTCTCGACCAGTCCACACTGTACACCTTGCAGCGGTGGGATGACCCAACCAAGCTCCAAGTTTTGACCAAGCCACCTCTTTACATGGCCATTTTCCGCTGGCATACACCTGTTTGGAGACAAGGAATTCAAACCCAGTCTGGTGCACGACGCAAAACAGAGCACAGCACAAGCCAAATTCTGGCTTCTCAGGTAAAACATCGTTCAACTGCATTGGCAACATAAACAAGTCAAGCTGATATTGTCACCACGCAGTAAACGCTGACATGTAGCTCCGAATCCTAAGCAAGGTGCGAACAACTATGTCCTTCAGCCGACACAGCGACTCCCCTTCTCATCAAGGTTACATCTCGCCCTCACTTAAGGGCCATTTCCTCTGAGAAATTACATCTGCAATTGTCCAGCATGTGCCGGTGCGAGCGACTACCGTGAACTGCTCTCCTTGCAAAAAGTCGTAAGTGCTGATTGTAGGTTTCACATCCTCCCTCGAAAACCGATACCACAGCTTGGGGAAATCATGAGAAACCAATTTGTGCTTTACGCGTCACCTTCTACTTCCATGTCTGGAAAAACCGCTTGCGGAAAGGTCGAGTTTGGCTTGGAGTCCCCGACGCCTTCAAACACAAAAGTCCCAAGAAGTGGCACAATGGCACAGCCTCGCAAAGCGTATCGCAGAAGCCACGTGCCCCGATCGATTTGACTGAGTTCGCAGCAGGCCGCGGGTGTTGATCCTTGATGACGCTGACCTCTGAATCGACCCCTTGAATGGGTCACAAGAGAAACAAAGGACGCCACACACACACACACAAAAATACACATACTGCATTTCAATACACGTGCTTCCACGTCTGCACAACATTGTGGCGTAGAAACTAGACACAGAGCAGTACACCTACATGGCACATACATTGTATTCTGTTTCGTACAAACAACTTCCTCAAACAAACAGGAACAGCAACAACATGTGCAGTTTTTGTTTGTTTCAAATTGAGCATAACATGATCAAGTAAGCAAACAAGCAAGCGAGCGAGCAAGCAAGCAAGCTATGCCGAATGATTGGACAACGGAACGACGTATATATAAACGAGGCAGGCAAGTCAAAACATGGGATTGTCATTTAGTATTTTAGTGCTTGGAAGAGCAAAGGTTGCGCGCTGAGGCAATGCTGGTTGGTCCAGTCACCTTTTGCTACGCAAGCATGGTGCTTCCCAAGGACGTGGAAGTGCAATAGGCTATATACACACCCCTTTGCCGCTCAGCTGTATGGGTGCTGTGGTGGTCGGCAGCATGAGCTTTCTGCAGCCCTCAAATCAATACCAACAACTCAGTATGTGCCGATGCCTCTTCTTTTGTTCTGGAATCTGGAAAAGTACGGCAACAAACCTAACACCATCTGCCTTGTTCAGCGTAAAGCGACATAGATGTTCACAGCGACAAAGATGAATCAGGCACCACACTTTTCACCAAGCAAACTAAACAGGTCGATTTTCTGCTTACGCGTTTTTGCACCAGGGATCAAACCAAAAAGCTTGTTTAGTCAAGGGCTGGAGAAGTGGCTCTTTAAGTCACCCCGCACAGGACCAGCCGCAGCATGCATCGGCAGGTGGAGACCTGTCGCGACCGCACCATGAGAAGAGAACCGGAAGAGAAGGCATGAAACCAATGGTGCAAACATGTTCAGTGCAAATAACATGTTCAGCGCGAATGCTATTGGAGTCGATACGCTTTTGAGCTCTCATCAGTTCAGCTGTGAATGATTCGAAGATTGAGTTGTTTACGTCCATGCAGCTGAGCGCCCTTGCTCAGCTTTCCTGGCTCCCGCAGTTCCAAAATGCGCTGAGAGTACAACCTGGGCCCCTGGGGATTCCACTGGTGAGCACCCTCCAGTGCTGCCTTGCAATGGCCACGTCACAAGCAAATTGAATGCCCCTCGTTACGACAGTGGACTGCCTTGTTTTGGAAGCCGCCCATGGCATGTTGGGCGGCGAGCATCCAGACTCTTGCACTTATGTGCAATAGTCTCGTGACAACAGCTATATCTTGAGGAGTTTCATGTGATATGAGTTTCTGTTATTTGGTGACATCAGTGATATCAGTATCTGTTGCTTCAACTTCCGCAAACACAGCTTGATTCGTCCATTGTTGTGTGCAAAGTAGGAAGTACGTCAGAGCAGCAGTCCTCAAACCTACCTACTCGTATCATCCCAATTTTTGCGCTCACCCCATCCCGCAGAGGCCTACTAGCCGTCACGCCATTGGGGCGCTTTTCCTGCGTGGCAGGGAAGCAGGACTGTCTACCTCGTCTAAAGAGAGTGAACATCATCAATTCCCTTACTTGCAATTGTTGGCATCCCGGAGAAAGGACCAGTTGCTCGCGTTGAGCTCGCTGATTTATGTCCAAGAGCACAAAGCTTCGGACACCCGCGGACGGAAAGAACTGGTCATCCCAAATTGCCACGCCAAGCATCCACAACATCCGGGCATGTGTCAAAACGGGGACCTGCTTTGCAATGGTTTCTACAGGAGGACATCCACCATTTGCAAGCCGATCTGAGAGAAACGCATCCAATGAGCAGAGAGGTGGGGTGCTAATTTCTTAAAGCGGCAAACCAGCACCCAACTGTGCAGGCATCAAATGCTGAGAGTTGTCTCCAAGCCAAGCACACTCGCTGGCTGACCAGTCATGAACTGCAAAAGTGCTTTTGACATATCACTCTTCATCTAGACTCTCTTAGGATAAATTGATGATCTCAATGGTTCTCAACAAATCCATAGGCTTGGCAAAACCAGCTATCCATGATCAACGCATGCCCAGCACCAAAGCTCTGCACCAGGCACCGTCAGCCCATGACTAGAATTTCCCTTAAGCCTGGAAATCTTGGCAACCATCTGGGTCACGCCTCTACGTCCTTGCCGTTGGGCACAGGTCTGGCCGCTGTTCGGCGAAAGACATGGAGTTGGTTGACCCCAATGTGACGGAGTGCCTCAGAAAGCTTCCAGCTTAGCACGGCACCTTTTGGGACCGTGCCTGTGCCTCGCAACGAGTGCCTCGCAACATCTTGCAACATCAGGGGTAGAGCCTCCTTAAGCGTGGCCCGAAAAGGCGCCTTGCTTGGAGTCCGCAGCGGATTTTCGCCAAGCTGCGCAGGAGCAACAGCAACAACAGTCTGTCCCATGATCCCATGACAGATCAACTGACTTCAAACAAGGCAACACACAACGCTTGGACTTCAATGGCAACTTGCAGTTGCCAAGCCTGCGGCCTGCCTGTGCTTGACCGCTTTTTCCACAAGCCCCTTTCAATGCGGCACAAATGTCACGTGTCGCTGCTGCACAAAACACCGCGGTAGGAATTGTGACCCCTCTAGTGTGATTCGGAGCCACTCAAAGAACACCAACCCCTGCGGTGACGAACCTCGCCAAATCCTGGCATCAAAGAAACATGTGGTCCTCGCGTCTTTCAACTTCCAGCTCGGATAGGCATTGGACAACAAATCAGAAAGCGACGCGACCGCTTTTGAACAGCCTCAACAAATAACGCCATCACCCACACGAACCCCTGGGAGCGTTTGATTGCAAATCCCATTTTACATGCCATGCTTCAAGTGAGCCCATGCAGACAGTCACATCCCAAAGTCAAACCACCCGCAGGCCCGGCAAAATGACCACCCCTGCCTTGCAGTGGGCACCAGGGTTCCTGCGTGTGTGCAAACATCACTTGCCTCTAACGCCAGCGTGGGAAAGTCTTGTCGCCTAGAAGGATCCTTCGAAGGCTCCTCTGCGCAAGCCCGCGGAGATATCCGGCACAGGAGCCATTGGGACCCTTGAGACCATTTCATTCCAAGAAGAACACCGGGTTAAAAATGATCCAGTGAACCTCCACAAAAGAAACACAAATCATCTATGCCTGCAATTGTGTATCTCGAATAAACATCAAACAGTGGGGGCTCCTAGTGACTATGTTGCAGCAGCTATGTACCAAACTGGATGCGACAGGCAAGCAAGGTCAGCTCCAGCGCTTCTTGAAGTGCTTCCATCCAATCAGCGAACTCATCGTCAGCTGCCAGCCGCTAAAATATGGGTTACACTGGCTAAGCCCATACTGCATTAGGATGAGTAAACAACAGCTCAAACCAGCAGTCCACGAAACAAACAAAAACAAGTCCCTTGTTCTTGGAAAGCTCACTTTTCCTTCCATCCCCTTGAGTTTGGGCGTATTGCCTGCCGAACTGGTCAGTTGTGCTCCTCGGAAAAGCGGCAGCGTCATTGCAGCGCTGAAAAGCGTCGCGGCACCTCACATGGGTCCAATGTGAAGCCCCGATGCAACAGATCTTTACTGCGCTTGTTCAAACCTTTAAAATGTGGAGGGCTTGCGACTGCTCATATTATACCCCACGCGACCAGATCGCTTGACCATGACATGCACACAAACCCAAACGCATGAGCCATGATCAAGCCTGATGGCACATTAAGCGGTCCAATTGTGTTGTGCAGGGCAAGCCTCAGCTAATTAACATCATTCCGAATCCGTTCCCAGCACATTTCAGATTGACGAGGAAGCCATGGTAAGGACGCAGCTGGCTGATGCTCTGACATCAGTCTCAACTTGATGACAATGCTTGATCCCTCCCAGTACTTGCGCTGCGATGTTTGAGTTGCAGCCGTCAGGGTATTTCCGAATTCTTCTAGTTGTGCGAGTCTGTGTGTGTGTGCCTTGCTGGAGAAACACCTTGACACCTATTGCGAAAGCTGAATCAACAGTTGCTGCACCAAGCATGGGCAAGCAACAAAGAGCCTCCCAAAACAATATGTGATCAAGGCGAAGTGGCTTCCAAACAAAGAGGCCCTTTCACACGATTTACACGGGCACGTTTCCGTGTTCACTTCTTATGCTCCATGCAGAGCCGGTTGCAGCAGTCACCAATTGAGCGAATTTTGGCTTATGCAATCTAAAGTCCGCCGACAACAGGCGGCGTGTTACACACAAGAAATGCTCCTTACCTGCTTCCCCTCCCCTTACCCCTTCCTGGGAACACGAATCCCCACTTTTGGGGAGGGGGACCGTGCCACCCGGTCCCTCTTCGTAGACTAAACCCTTTCAAGGTGCGGGGCACGGTTGGTAAAAACCTTGGGACTGTCTAACATCCCCAGCATCGTTTTCGGCAGCACCAGCGCAACACCACCAGCATCATAAGGGAATACCAAAGGAATAGGGGAATACCAAAGGAATAGGGGAATACCAGAGGAATACCAACGGGAATAGAATTCTCAGGGAATAGTAAGGGAATGCTAGCGCAATATTACGAGAATACCGAGAGAAGACTAAAGGAATACTACGAAAACACCGAGGGGGCAATACCAGGGGGAATACAAAGGGAACACTAGCAGAATACCTAGAAGATACTAAAGAATACTAGGAAAACAATAAGGGGAATATTGGGCGAAAATTAAGGGAAGACTAGGCAGTACTAAGGGTGAATACTCGGAAAATGCTAGGGGAATCTTGATGGAATACTGGTACGACACAAATAAGAAAGCAGGCCTGCCATGTCGGCGGTCCGAGCCGGAGGCGTTAAAGCACCTCATACATACCAGGCCCTGGGCTATGTGCCTCTGTTCGACATCAATGCCCAGCTGGTTTGTTCTTCATAGTGTCAATGAGGTGAGGCTTGTCCATTTTCGCATCAAGCCATCTACCGCATCAAGCCATCTGAGTTTGCTCCTGAAGCAACACATACAGGGTGCATCAACCACGGCATGGGCTAGAGTGCTGGAGAGCTCATGCAGCAGCAATCGCTGATCAACGACTTTGCTTTGAAACAGTCAAATTGCCCACGACTAATCAAGGTAAGATCTTCAATGGATACTACGTGATAGCACAGTACAACTTTGGAAATGCCCTTGTTTTGCGGCAACGTTGCAATATCGATATCTGGATGCTTCTCTCAAGCACCAAACCAAACACTTTGAACTGATGCTAGACATTCTGGGCGCCAAGCTTGCCTTCGCATCACCTTTCGCCTGGGTCCAGGCGCACACGTTCCGCCTGTAAGAACAAGCGTTGAATGCAATGAGATGTCAATCAAACATTTGGAAATACAGTGTTTTGCACGGATTGAGTGCCTTCTGCTGATTCTTAAACAATCAAATACACACTTACCCCATAGTGTTGTATACTTCGCGGAATGCCGCAACTGATGTCTTTCATTGTCTTTCGCAGATCAACGGACTGATCACGCTGAAAGCTATACATCAGCAAGCTGACAAAACCATACATCCGTACCTCGCATCCCCCCCCCGGCATCCCCTCGCCCTCCCCCGCATCTCCCCCAGCCGTTCCTTTCCCGGCTCCCGGCAAGCCTGCAGCTTCGGACTGCCCTCATTCTCCACGGGCCTGAAGTCCGAAGCCGCATCAATTCTAAAGATTCCAAAGCGTGCCGAGTCCCAGTCCTCCGTGCGAGGGCACTTGCATCTTTGACCCTATGCCAGCAGCTGCAGGCTGCAAGAAAACTACAAGTTCTACAGCTTCTGCTCACAAACACAGGCCACCTCTTGTCCCCTTGTCTGGCCCCCTTTTTGAAGCCTTGCAAAGAGTGGCATAGACCATATATGCTGAGTAAGTGAAACATTGCAGGAATATTCAATAGTCAAGACCAGAATAACCCGACACTCCGGCTTCTTATCTGATCCAGTCCCCCAAGAAGCCTAACACGCGCCAACATCCCTTGCAGAAGCAGTAAACCAAGCGAAAGGGCACAGCCAGTCTTTTCCGTCGTCTCTGCGCGCCTGAAGTCCTTTGGGAGGGCGGCGGTTGGTGCCCAGAGCCGCAGGTTGCGGTCGTCCGAGCCTCAACCGCTCGGCGCTCAACGCCCGAGGAATATCCACCTTTAACGTTCCATCAAAATGGGCCCAGATGTGGGCTTGTCTAGTTTTGAGGCTTCCCTTTGGTTGGTCTCTGAGATCCTCCCATGGACTTGGGAAATGGAACCTGACCAAAGCTTTCTTAAGCCCAGGCTGTGGGTGGGAGGCCATCCAATCTGATCATGCTCGTGATCAAGCAATAAACAACAAATGCGAATTGTACTTGTGAAAGAAAAAATGTTTGACACCTAGAGTAGGTGTGCACTTGCCCATAATATGCTGGCTTAGGGTTGGTCTTGAGTGGGTTGTACGCAGGTGTCCGGTTCTGTTTGCATAGGTTTCATGTTTGTCCAGGGTTGGCTTCAGGTTGGGGTCCCTTTGGCTTGTAAAGTGTGTGTGTAGGGTTGGCTTAGGGCATACAATATGGGCTTAGTATTGGCTTAGAATGGGTTGATGGGTTAATGGGTTAATGGGTTGTTGGGTCGGGCATAGATTCTTGCTTCAAGGCTGCAGCGGCTGATCAGGATGTGAGTTAATTACGGCGGGCTGAGGTTGGGGACAGAATGGATTTTCGGGTTGTTCTTCGGAATGAGCGGCTAAATGAGATAGCTTTGATCCAGGCTGGATTTGTGGCTGATGTTGGATTTGGGTTGGACAAATGATTGAGAATGGGCATCAAGTGAGGCAGAGTTCAACGCGGCTTGGCTCGTTGACTTGGGCGGGAGCACAACAAGCTGCCCTCCCGTCCAGCTTGGGCGACCGCAGCTCACAAAGTGGGAGCCCTTCTCATCAAAGCACAGAGCCCAGACCTGGCACGGCTCGCCCTGAAGATCAGGCCATGCGCGGACTGAAATTACCTCCCTTGACACAACTCGGCAACGAATGGCCGTTTTAAGGTCTGCTGACAGCTGAGTTGAACCATGCAGGGTCCAAGCACAACAGGGTCATGGCCCACGAAAGACTAGCACAACCAAACCAAACATTCCACCCAAGCCAGCCCATACCCTCCCGCGCGCCGTGCTGCCGTGGCCCTCGAGAGTCTCCTTGCAGCACCAGTCGTCTCCATCTGGGCCCCAAACCTGCGCACGGATCTCAGCCTTCGCTACTGGCGCTGACTGGCTTCCTGATCCTTTCACTGACTCGGGGAAACAAGCCAATTTTAGGAGACAAGTCAAATCCAAAGGACAGCCAAGGCCAGTGTGATGAACCTCGAGGTTGGGCCCGAGCTCTGTTTGATATACCGATTTTGGTCGTTCAATCGTCTGCCTCTGCGCTACGGAAGGCAAATCACCGGAAGAGCATTGCAATAGCAACATCCAAAATTGTCTGGATTGTTGACGGTGGCGATTGCACGAGCGGGGAGAGGACAACCCAACAGAATATTGCATCTCACCCTGAAAAAACTGTGGGACATTTGGAAGCTGGTATCACAAGGGTGCCACAGCCTGGATTCGGGGCTTCAGCGGCAGAACCATCCAACATCAACTCACACACTCAAATACCCCAATTCCTGCGACAGTTCTCAGCACACTCCTCAACATTGCACTGGTCGGGATACCTATCTCACGCACATATCAAACGTTTGTTGAACTCGGTTTTTAACGAGCATGTTTCACAATCCAAGACTGCAATCTTCTGGAAGAGCCCTCTTAGGCCAGCATGGTTTCTCCTGGAGTCGCCCAATCTATCCATGTTTCCTTGCAGTCCTTGAATCTTGAGTGTAAGCAAGATTCAAGTTGGCTCCGCAAAGAGTTTTCAGCATTTTCCCCGCATGTAGCGGGCCCTCTGTGCCTTGATGGTGTCATCATAGGAGCAGGAGAAGAGCACATCCTGCTGCGGGTGCCACCGCACTGCCTTCACGTCCTGCGGCCAGGTTTTAGACCCCAGCGTGATCCAAGGGTTCTCAGTTCCAACAGGTGTGCGCAGCTAAAAGGGTTGAAACAATACATATTTGCTGCAGATTTGTATGAGTGACCTGGCGTGCCACTGTATTTGGAAACTACACCAGGGGACCACCATTTCTGCACTTTCAGCCGCACTGCCTCGTTAGCCTACACGCTGTCCCACAACAGCCTTCGCGTGTTTGCCGTGTCCTGAGTATGAGACTGCAAAAGCGCAACACACTCGTATTCGTCCGTCTCTTGGGCGTCGTAGACCCAGACCTGGCTTTGTTTAAGCAGTAAGCTCCCCGAGCATTGGCTTAGCTTAGGATCAACCAGACTCTGAGGTTGCGAGATGCATGGCAAATCCTTGGAAACGCGAGAAAGCATCATAAACACAACTCTGGCTTTTGCTTGATGCCAGGCAGCTAAGAGCAACCTTGATGGTGGCTACCTTTTTCAGCGTGCATGACCGCTACTGTTGCAAAAACCAGCTGCTTCTAACTTGTTCGAGTACACGCTGCTTTCGATGATTGATGAATATGCTGACTATGTTTCATTTGTTTTCTTCAAGACACCATCCGAATCCTCCTTGATCAAACCTGGGTCAATTCTGAGTGGACAACGTGGCGCCCTTCTTTGCAGCAAATGATGTGGCCTTACACTGCTGGTCTAAGAACCGCATTTTGCCAAATGCTAGCGAAGATGGGTGTGCTGGCAGTCGCCCACACGTGCCCAAAGTCTTGTGATGTACCATTGCAATACTAGTCAGTGCCGGTGGTTGTGCCCACTCATGTTGATGTTGAAAAGGTCCCTTTTAGCAGCTTCCAGTCTTGCTGAATCCGTTGAGAAGTGCTTCTTTTCATCAGCGAATCATGGCTTGCAATGGGCATAGCGTTCGAGTTTCATAATCTTGATGCACTCCTTCCAAAGCATCTGCAACACGTAAGAAACACACACCATCCAACATCTATACAGCACATTGCTCTTCAAAGCCAGCCTGTCAATCATGAGACGCTCACACAAACGTAAGCACGCACACAATGTGGTTTCTGAAACCTTCCGGGCATTTGAAATCCTGCCACAGCCACATGCAATGCGCATGCCAGCCCGAAATCGAGAACAACCATGCGCCGCTGGACTGCGCTAACTTCTTAATCTTTGCCGGCATGGCAGAGCGGTCGCCTGGCCCGTGTTCGAGTTCAGTCACTACGCTCACACTTGGACGCCCATCTGGATGTTGGACTACGGGATATTACGTCAGACAAGAAGGAATGTCTGCACGCTTTGTCACAATGTAAACACCCACTTTGCAGCGGTCCAAACTCAATATCAGGATAAATCCAAAGAATTCTGGCAATTGCAACCTTGCACAGAGATGCGCGGTGAGTCCAATGCGATCCTCCCCAGGTGATGATTGCTCAAATAAGCTTGCAATATCCTGCAATGTATTTAATTGCTAATTCGACTTAATACATATTCTATGTATAATATATATATATACATTATGTATGATATTATACACATGAAATATGGTCTTCCAAACCTGTGCGAAACACAGGCTTCCTGGCTTTGACAAAAGCAAGTTGCCACTCCCTGAAGCCAACCACCTCCAAAAAACACATCAGCTCAGCAACCCGATGGGAGACACGATCCAAGCTTGCCGTTCCAGTCACCTCTGGGAAATCGCAAGATCAACACCATGGGCTGAAGCCAGGAACCTCTCCACATAGCCCGCATTCTTTCTTCTTGGTTCACTTGTTAGTTGAAATACATGAGACATATTTTACCCAGAAAACACACACACACACCTACACCAGAGCCCACAAGGGGGCCACAGGCCCGGCTGGGCCGCGGACGGCTGCAGGATGCAAAGAGTTGACCCGAGGGGCTATAGGCCACCGACCTAAAGGCGAAGCCCTCGCGAAGCCATTGGAAACGCAGCAAAATGAATTGGCCCCCTCCTATTGCTTGGCTTCATCTAGTTTTCTGTTCGAAATTATGTTGAAAAAAAGTTTCCCGAATTTGGCAGGTTCCTGCCTGATATTCTCAGAATTGCTCCCAACAATAAATCCGTTCCGCCGCTCAATACGCCTCTAAATGGTAATTTAATTCGGGGAAAAAACATTCATCTACAGGGTTCATTGGGGTTCCCAGGCGTTTCCGCTGCTCCAAATGATTTGGGCACCCCTATCCTTTGTCAGGCACAAACTTGTGGGAGGTTGTCATCAGCATCACGACGGGGAACCAAAAAAAACCGAAAAGGAACCATGCACCATCCAATCCACTGAATCCGGTGTCAAATAGCTCATGGTCTATTTCAAGCATGCTGTCCTGGGCTTCCGCCATGCACCTACAAAGTGTCTGCAATGTTGCCCGTATTCTATTCTCCTTTCTCGCAATGCCTTACGGTTTCTTTACTCACTAGGAAAAAAAGGGCATCCATTCGGTTTGACAGGGAAATCCGTCAAACTCCATCCGCTTCTGCTCCCTAGTTGAGGCTCCCAGTTCGCTAGGGCACAGACTTCACCTCGTTCTCGTGGCCGCTGAGCACGGTGGCACACTCCATGCTCAAGCAGCCTTCGAGCCACAAGCAACCACACAACAAAGCCCCATTACCATGGGAAATAGACCGTCCACAATCTCATTTAGCTTTGGGTTCCAGGAAAGCCAAAGTAAACTGGCCCAAACAATTGACTAGCGAGCTTTGACACTTACAAAGAGCAGGTAGGATAGAAGCTGGGCTGCAATGAACACATTTATTGCTTTTGAATTCCTAGGAGTTGGGGGCTTTTCACCTCCAACTCTGAACGTGTTGCAGCCCTGTCTGACCACACAGGGCAAACTCCGTGAATTCCAATATAGGGCCGTCCAGGGCGGCAAAATGCGTTTCTGGGATTGCTTGGCGGTGCCCAAAGATGTGCCCATGGGAGTCAGGCTCGTTCGCAGAAACGCGGTGAGGCAATGTCATCAGCTTTCAAGGTTCACATTAATTCAGATTGATTCTGCTAAGTCTTCCAGTAAACATGCGGTTATGATCAACCATCCTCACCACAGGACCATTTGATGAGTCTGGCGGCAAACCTGCAACGCCTCGAGCGCGTCTGAAAACGTGCCAAGAAACCGCCGGCGACAAGCGGCTCAGGCCTGGTGTCTCGGATCCTGGTACCACCTTCCACACGGAGATGGTGGCCTGAGGGGAAGGGCACAGTGTGGCATGTGCTTCACACGCGTGATGACCACTGTGACGGTACTCATGATAATAGATGCAACCCAAATTGTTTTCGTACTCAAAGAGCGATTCATTGTAGGATTTTAGGAATCCGCCGAGGCGGCGCACATGTTGCGAAGCGCCAAACAGCCTTCTGGGGGATCCGTGTTCGAAATCTGACTTGCGCCGATACGCCGATACGCCGTGCGCCGCGTGGCAAAGGCAATACGCGCCACATCCACCCCAAACCAACCCGATACTGAGCCAAAATCCTGCCTAAACCAAACCCAAACCCTCCCACCGCAACCCCAAACCAACCGTACATGCAACCCAAAACCAACCCTCACCCGAAACCAACCCAACCCTTTATTCCCACCCTAAACCACCTCAGAACAAGCCTAAACCAACCCACGCCCAAACCCACCCCGAACCACCAAGCCCTACATATAAACCAACCCAAAACTAACCCAAAACTAACCCTAAACCGACCCTAAGCCAATCCTTGAGCCACCCCAAACCAACCCCAAACCAACCCTAAACCAACCCTAAACCATCCCAAAACCAACCCCAAACCCACCCTAAACCCTAGACCAACCCTAAACCCACCGCCCACACCAACCCACACTGACCCGAAACAACCATAATCCAACCCCAAAACCAAACAAAACAACCCCCCTAAACCAACCCACCCATCCTAACCAACCAAAAAATCCACCCTTCAACCAAGCACAAACACCCCAAACCAACCGCAGCCAACCCTGAACCAAAGAAACCCGCCTTGACCAACCCTATGCCAGCCCCTGGTTTGCAATCTTGGTTTGCATGTCCCAGCTTTGACTGGCCGCCGAATCCTGGTTTTGGAATTCTAGCTGTTTTTGGAATTCTGGCGGCATACGGGCACATACCCTGGATGCAATCGGCGTATTGGTGCGTGCAATCCGTGCATTCTTGTCACCATGCATTGGTGCGCGCAATCGGTGCATGAGTGCATCAGTGAAAGTCCAAATTCTGGACGCTGCTTCCGCACGCGCTGCGCCCAAGCCTAAGAAATCCCAATCGTTGAGTCTTGTTTAATTCACTAACAAACCCGGACCCATATGAGTTTGTAAAGGAAATATGCTGAGAACTCCTAATTGAAGAAGCAAAGCGGAAGTCACTGGGGCCGCAGCATCGAAGGAGGCCACTGCCAGCTTGGTGCCGTCCACATTCCACTGCGGGTCGAGGCAAATGCGCCATCCGCAGAGTGCTTAAAGAAAGGAGAACTCATTCTGGGATAAATCCCAAATCAAGATGTGTTTGTTGCCTTTCTGACATCTGAAGCTAGATCTTCTTGCTGGGAACTCTACAGCAGGAGGGGGGCAGTAACATTGACCCCGTGTAAGTGGACGCTGCGCTGAAAGCAACGTGGCGCAGTGAAACATATTCTATTGAGCTTGGCCAATGTTCCTGGCTTCTCAAAAAGACACAAATAGTTGCTTACCCTGGTAGATAGTAATTCAACTGTATTCTAGTCGCATGCTGTCATGCTTCCAGGCATCTACATCATCGCGGCTTAGAACGCCTCATGTTTGCAGACCTTGGTCATGACGTTTGCCAAGTTTCGTATGTTCTCAAACTTGAACGGCCATCTCAAACCCTTTTTAACTAGACATGTCAGCCAGCCATCCCTTGAATCCTTGAGCGTCCCAACTGGTGGACACCTCCTCCATCAGTTGGGATGGATAAAACCCTATCACTACTGGGATAGACCGATACCCCACCTACCAACTGGTGCCCGGCGTAGATTTCGTCCATCCATGTCCATCCACAGCAATTCTCTGAGTCCCTTAAGCGGCCCGGCAGCCAGGGACCGCATGGTGCGGCTGTGGTGCTCTGAAGTGTCGATCTCAAGGATCAGCGACCAGTCCTGGGAAGGGCTTTCTGGCGCCGCTCGCTCCAACTTGTCCACATTTGCGTTGCTGAGTTAGAATGACCCCAGAAACGAGGGAATGGGAGCACCACTGCTAACCATTCTCAAAATGTGCAAGAGAATGTGCTGCACAATGCGTGAATGAGTGATTCTGGACCCTGCCCAACATCATGTGGTTGATGGTTGACCCGGAAATCATAAAGGGCCAGTGTGATATGCTGTCATGTTTGGGCACAGGTTGTGCAGGAAATGTTCCAAACAGATTGATCAGCATTTCACAAATCCTCAAGCAGGAAAGCTCCGCGACGTCAAGGAATTGCAACCTGCTCCAACTACACAGGCTTGAGGCTGAAGGCGACGACTCGTCTGCTCTCATTCGGTCTGGAGTTGGCCATGCAAAGCAGTTCTGTCCTGTAGGTAGGCACCCTCCATTTATCGTTTGTTTCCCACAACCGATTGCGTCTAAAACCACCCCGTTCCGGAGGCAACTCCACGTGCAAATGTCATGCAGTACTAAGGCATACTAAGGTGAATGATCAAATCTATATGCCGTTCGCCTGGGCACCCCGGCGGAGCCACTGCCGCCCCAAAGGCGGATGGCTTGGTCAGCGCCTGCACCAAGTAGAATCAACGCACTCCAACTTGGGACAGTTCTATACGCGAGCATCACCCGCCACGCCAAAAGAGCATAAGAGTGTTTGCTACGATGATCTTGGTGTCTTTGTGCTTTTGCACTCGTTCATTTTCGAGATTTGCCAGCTGCTTAGTTGTGTGTCATCCAACCACTGTGCCATTCCTAAAGCATGTTCACTTTGGAAAGCTTCCTACCCACAAGACAGCCACCTATTATTGTCATCAATGTCAAAGATTCCCTTCAAACAAGACAGTTGTCTAGCGAGAACACCTTCAAACTCTCGTTGGCGGGCCGGCTAAATCAACATGGGCATCAGCCTAACGTGACTTCTGGATTAGCCTAATTGATAGCCACTCGCGGACTGTCCAACAAATCAGAATCATGCCGGTGCAACTAGAACAAGCCAAGCCTGCTGTGGACGGACAACATCCTGCACCAGTTGCTAGGTCGTTCATCCCAGCATGAATAGGGGTTCATCCACCCAACTGGTGCAGCTTTTGGTCCATCCACCGTATCAGGGATCCTTACATTGTACACCTGAACATTGCCTTGTAAATGGTGGTTTCCCTTTATTTTGGTGGAAAACGCCATGTTTCAAACGGGCAAAATGTATCTTTTAAGGAGCCTTGCGTATGTTTCCTAGTTTTGCAGTTTTTACTGAGTTGGCTTGGTGGTGGGCATCGCCCACGCCTTTCGAGTGGTGGTGCCAGGATTCCTGATTCGGAGCTGATTTGGGGTAGGTTGAAGCGTTTCTGGCTTGAGGCTGGTTTTGAGAAGGCTTTGGGGAAGGTTTAGGGTTGGCTCAGGATTGTTTTAGACTGGGCTTAGACTGGTGTCATGCAAGGTCCTGAGTTTGCTTCTCTGCTGGTACTTTGGCCTTCTTCGGGCAGTCTTGCACATGCAGGGTGATTTCCTGAATTCCTGAAACTCCCATCTGAAGGCTTGCCAAAAATCTCATGAAAGCTCTGTGCCCAGCCAACCAGGTCGGAACTCTCTGGAAGCCCTCGCCACCTGCGACTAGTTGGCCTGTGAATACTGGGATAAACCACCTACCAACTGGCTTGAAGGTACCAGCTACAACAGGAGAACATTGACAGCCTGCAACTTGATGGCAATAATGGCTTAGCTAACATGTGCAGCATGAAAACACACAATTGCCAATAGCATGATTAGCCATGGTATTTTTAGCTAACTAGCCATGAGTATCAATTATTGACCGTGTCCATCAGCACCGAAACAAATCCTCCCGCTTTAAGGCCATGCCCGAAGGCCAAGCTCCCGGGCCTGATGAGGCCAGCATCGGCCTGATCCCCAGAAAGCCAATGGGCCATGGTGCCCAGGAACCGAGCAAAACATACTGGGGGAGCGACAAGAAGCACACGGGGGACAAAAACAAGAACATCATCCCTCAAGAGTTGAAGATGTGGTTTTTGGAAAGCTTGCTGCTACATTTCGTCAAAGAGTGACGGCATCCTGGGTCGGAGCACGTGGATCTAGTCTCTACTTGTGACGACGGAGGGGTGCCCCTCCTCAGAGCGAGAGGTGGATCGATCCATGCGTCCGGGACTTGCTCATCATGTGCTTTAAGCCCCCAACTTCTCATATTCATGAGGGTGTTTGATGGTATACTGCTTCTGACAGGCAATGCACAATTTCCCGCAAGTTTATGGAAACTCAAGCTCAGGTTCGCGAATCTTGCTCAGTCCTACTTCCCTGTGATTGCCCTACTTGCAGTGCACAAGCAACACATATCGGACAAGTCGAGCTTTTGGACATCAAATTCCTATGGGGCAGCACATGGCACACAAAGAGCTCCTGCTCCCTGGCAAACCTTAAGCACCAAGTGATTTCACCAGACCCAATTGTCCAACTCATAGGCACAGCTTCTTGGTCTCTCATACCAACTGGTTGTGACAAACATAAGTCGCAGGATCACATGTGACAACCCTTGGAGGCGACTTGAATCCGTCACTTCATTGCTGGTCTATCATTTTGCACCGGCACGACACAGAACTGCCTAGACCATTGTGTAACTACTTTCCTTGCAGTGTCCCCAAAGGCCACTTTCCTGCCTCCGGCACTGTGGTCTCCAGGCCACATTCCAAACTCGCTCGTCATGGCCCCTGCATGAGACAGGAAGCCAATACAAGCGCGACCCTTCTCGCACAATTCGCTGACACAAGCACAGAGACACACGCACACACATGTTTGCGTAGGGGTTCATGAGTCTGTCACGGGTAGGGCCGTAGATTGGTTTTGTGGGCTATTGCGCCAAGGGAGTGCTCCCGCGAATATGAATACTTGGCGCCCAGTAAACTCCCAAAACTGAGAGGAGGCTGCACATAACAGATACCCTGCTCAATGCCGCAGGGAGCTTGGTGAGTTTGCTGTATGACTCTTTCAGAAATGCACGTCAGCGGCAAAAACTATCAGAACGAGCAGTAAACACGAATGGACCGGTATTGACTTCGAAAGATTGATGCGCTGATGGTGCCTTTGTCGTTGGCGCCTGGTCAGCCTAAACACTTGCAGTGCTTGAAATGGCAGTGGTCCAAACGTGCTTGACAGCGTTGCTGTGGTTTTTGCATGAGTGCCCGCTGCCTCTCAAGCCTCTCATCACAAGACATTTTCCTTCCAACACGAACCTCGGGGGCTGGAGCCCTTTTGTCGCTTGAAAGTGCAACCTATGCTCAAGTCTCAATGTCACCATGTCTGGCAAACATGGTCTATGTCTTCTATCGCCTTTTCCCATATATCAACCCTCCTTTCGCATCATCTGTTGTCTTGTGCGAACTGCAAACATGAAAGAAACACCAGGACATAGAAACGCAAAGCCGCTTAAGAAAGCCACGTTGCAAAGTACACTGGTCAGACAAATGTCGAGCCTTCTTGAAGCTCCAAACGATCATAGCCCTTCCCCCTAGAATCCTTCACGACATAAGGCCTACGCAGGTGTGCGCTGTCAGGTTTTGGACCCGGGAAGCCTTTTATTGCAATAAATTTAAACGGGCGTAAGAATTGAGTGTGATACACACGGACTACACTTTTCAACCGTACACCATCTTTAAAAAAAGAGTAAAACAGAGGTAAAACACCTACACGATTGTCTGATGGAACGATTGAGCCTCAAGCATCCGCTCAATCTCAACTCGTTTGGACCTGGTGCACTTTTCACTCGCCTCGGGGATCTCAGTATCTTCTCCAAGCATTGGACAATGATGGATGGCAACCATCTAAAATAACACGTATCACATAAACAACAGAAAACCTTACTTGATACCCTGCGTGCACTTGAACGTCTGAGAGCTCCTTCTGCTAATTTCTGCATTAGTAGAGTCTCTTGAAATCCTTCAGAACGAACCTTTGATGACGCACGCAGTTGCCCATATCTCGCCTTAAGCTGCAAAGCTTCCGCAAGGATGGTTTCGCCATGACGGCAGCAGGATGGAAGCTTGCAAAATCGGCCCAAACTGATTGATAGCTTTTGCCCCATTCCACGGGAGAACCCGGGAAATTGCTTCTGAGCCCGGGACGGCTAAAACACATCTGCTTCATTTAAACAGGCACAGCAATACCACCAACAGGCGAAGCCACGATGATTTTAACGGTCGTAGTCTGCTGACTGTGAATGACAATGAGCTGCGCTTTGCATGCCGTTGCATTTGACAAATCAACAGCCTTTTGGATAGGTGAAGCATTTGGCACCATGCCACCTTTTGAGCCTAGCTGTTGATGGTCTGCACAGGCGGGCCACAGTGGCCTTGGAAGGGTATGAGCTACACAAAACGCATGAGACATGTTCGCGACTCTGACATGTTTTGCTGCGTGAAGGCAATTGCTAACACTCATCCAGCGTTGGCATTGGTTGCGCACCAACTTAGCACTCGGAACCTGTTTTCAGAGAAACACGAATTGAGTTTCCTTCGAGCTTCCGGTCATGGGCTGACAGGATCTGAGACAAGCAATTCATTGCGAGCAATTCATTCATGACACATGACAGACTTCGCAGGAGACTAGTTCATCACTTGGACTTGAAACCACTTCTCACGGGTTTTGATCACACAACAACTTCCAATACAGAAGCGCACAACTGCAGGATACCTAAATTCAATCCCGTCCTGCCCATCCGCCGAGCATCCTTAAAGAGCCACGCCAGCCAACCCCTTCCTTATCAGTAACTTAGCCCGATCAACAAATAATCTTTTGCCAAACTCCAAATACAAAAGCGAAAGCACGTAGCCGACACTAAGCCAGCACTGAACCAACAGACCCTCTGGACCAGCTGCGCTCATATTCGGGGTGCCTGAAAACAAAGCTCGTATGCTCCGAATTATTCCTAACTCATCGAAGCGCCACATTGGCGCTACTGATGGTTTCAACGACTCAAAGGATGCACTCCCTTTTTTGTGTGAAAGGTCAGGGAGGATTGGCCCAGCTTCACTGGGCTACAGCAGCTCGGCATCGATGGCCCCCCTCGAAGTTCGTGGAGGACTGGCGCGGAGCGCTCCACATGGGCTGTCTGGGCCGCTCTCACCGCCTCCTCCTTGGCGATGGTGGTTGAGTCTAGCTGGTCTGAATTTTGAATGCTTTCACCGCCGATGGGTCCCCGCCTGGGGGGGGGCCAAAGGTCCGTGGGAAGGCCTCGTCCAGCTCCCTCACGTTGTTCCGGATCTCCGCCCTAACCAAGGAGGGGACAAAGTCCGAGACTTGCCGAGACGCCTGTTTGACCCACGCCATGGAGCAGTGGGCTCTTCCCCCAAGAGGGCGCTGTATCCCAGGCCGGCGCGCTTGCACCTTCTGGCCCGGGTGCGCTCAAGGCCCCCCTGCTTCAGCTTGGGGCCTTCAAAGCCCCGGAGCAGGCGCTGGACGTCCACAATCAGCACGCGGCGAAGGCGAGTGGCCGTGGTTTTCCCGAAGCAGGGGAACTCCTTCATCGAACTGCTAAAGTTCTTCCGCCACCTCGTGGGTCCGCGTGTGGCCCACCCAGCGTGCCTCTGCCTCGTCCGAGGAGTCCTGCTCTTTGGCCTTTTCCAGCATCTTCTGCTGGCGCTGCCACTGAGCGTCCGCCCTGGCATCCAGAGCCGTGGGGAGCCATGGGCACCGTATTCTCGTCCGTGCCAAGGATGTCTGGTGGCGTCCTCCTGCGCCGGGTTCAGCAGCTCCAGAAACGCGGGGCCGGCTTGACCTCCTCAGCCAAGACCGACCAGCCTTCCTCCTCTCTCTGCACGAGGCTTGCCAGGTATTTCTGCATGGAAGCCTTTGCCTTGGCTTTGGCCTCTGCAACCGTGGCTTCGGCATAGGCAGGGGCGTACATGGCTTAAGAGGGGACAAGGGGAAAGAAAGTGTTTTTCAAATCAAGACAAGACTGGTTTGGTCCACTTGAGCCAAAATGTTTCCCAAGTGGACCCTTACAATGAGTTTTGTCAAGTGCACACCTACGGCTACACTGTTGCCCATTTAAACCCCTCGTTTGGCGCACTACTTTCTTTGCCTCGCACAGGGGGGAGTCCATTTAATGGACAAGGGAGGGGTGTTTCCATTGTTCGGGAGGAACAGATCGCTTTCTGTGGCCCACGTCATCTTCATAAATCTGTTGACAGGTTGGGATGCTTGTTGTCCACCTACGATTCTCCTGGAAGTTTATACCAGCTATTCAGTCTGATTACCACCAACACCGGCTGCCAAGCATTTTTTCTCCGCCCAAGTCCTTCTGCTTGAGGCGAATCCACAGGTCGGTCTTCTGCAGCAGCTGACCCAACCCCTTTGCCTGAGCACACTGTGCCGAGGTTGTCTGACGTGGCATGATGTTGCACGCCATTCAAACCCATGAACATGTCAAGTGCTACAAGTTCAAGGGACGTGTGAATACGAGAGACCTAGCCATCAGAAAGAAGATTGCTGACACAGTTGAGTTTGATCTTGCTTGAGGCATCACACACACACACATCGCAAACAAAAGGCGGCTTTGTGAAACACCATTAGCTATGTCAGCTTTCTTGGTCGGTAAGTATTGCGTAGAATGTGATTTCAATTTAGGGTGTTGACGTTTGCAGTTGTTTGCAAAGGCTTGGACAAGGCGTTAGAGGAACCAAGCCAAAGCAATGCTGGTCTATATTGCGAGGCCGTGCAGTGTAGTGCTGACGGACGTGGGCTGAGCTCTTTTTGTCTTAAAAATAGGGGACCCCGAAATTGGTGGTTTCCCTTAGGACGGGGCGTTATCCCCTTTATGAGGATCAACAAACTTGTAGTGCGCATAAGGCTCCGACGAAGGCCCTCACTTGGAAACAAGACACAATAACGCCCTGGGCAAGCTCTGGATAACATCATGCCTTGGGCGGTTCCTCTGACTACAGTAATCCTGACTATTTGACGGCTCCAGGCGGTGACGATCTTCCCAACAGATGTGCGTCGCAAAGGAAATAATGATCCTATTGCTTATTCTTCACCTCTTTCCAGTCCCAGAGCCTGGGCAAGGTGTCATCCCACAAACGGACTGTCACTCGCCCTAGCCTGCAGTCTTAGACCGCTGCTGGTTTTGTCTGCAACCATCACAAGACAAGCCAAAAAAGACTACACCTGCTTTGCAGAAAGCAGGAAGTGTATTGTTTTTAAACAAAAGCAAACAAATGCTGAGCTGCATTCAAGCGGCTGTTCCATCGGTGAGCATGTATGCGGCAGGTTTGTTGACCTTGGATTGACAACTAGTGCCAGTGTGAGACAGAGTGCGACCATCACAAGAAAAACAACGCCTTTCTGAGCACAGCTTATATTTATTCAGACAGCGTACCTGCAGATTGACACAATAGCCTGTCGTCCTTTTATACCTCCATTGGATCAGGACATTTGGAGCGTCTGTGTGGAGAAGGATCTCAAGAGACCGCTCCGCATCGTGATTATCTTGTTGGCTCCTCGACAGTACCTGCCGTGGATGAACAACATCCCGGCACCAGTTGGTAAGTGGCTTACCCCAGTTTTCATAGGGTTTCATCCATCCCAACCAGTGCGAAATGGGTTTGCCCATCCACGGCCGGGTCCACTTTTGATACTTCCCATGCCACTGGCCTGAGGCTGCTGCCAGGCTCAGGTCCGTGTTCAACTTGCCGCCCAGCAACCCCCCGGGAGTGCACAGCCGCACCCACAAGGAGCCGGGGACCTGGCACAGAGCGCCTGGACCTGAGATTGACGCTGGAAAAACCTCCTCTCTGCTTAGCTGCTTGGTCAGCTGGTATGCAGATCCCCCAAAAAGCCAAGGAATCGACTCAAGGTCCTCTTCTGTCTGATTGAAGGTTCTCAGTGATCACCAGTGATGGGTGCCGGTTGAACAGCAATCAAAGGGGAGGGTTTGCCATAGTTGTCTGTTGAAGAACGCGCCTTCCCCAAACACAAACATGAGCGAGCAAAAACACTAGGAAATGCACTTGCATGCAACCATCATTTGCTTGTAAGCAATCTAGTCAAAGATTGCGGCTATGCCATTGTAAATACTCCAGCACGAAAGCACAAAAGCACGCAAGGCTGCATGTTTTGGCAAAGCTGAGCAAGCCCTTGCTTGGTGAAAGGAGCCTTGGGCACCAAAACCCAGGAAGGCACCAAACTCTGCGACATCCCTCGGCGTTTTCCGGGGGATTCCGAACGGCAAATGATCTATCTTTGGCAGGTAGAAAGACATCCAGCCTCCATCTCCCGACCCAAACGAATAGTTATTTTTGATGTTCCATGTGCCTCCTCGGCGGCCAAAAGCTGACCTCTGCAGAAGACCTGCGGTGGAATTCATGGCTGGGGATGCCTCCAACATCCAACTGGCAACAGGACAAAAAACCCAACAGTTGTCATTAGAAACAATTGTGAATAGAAATTATTCGAGACACTCAGCTTTAAACCGAATCTCTAATGTTCCTTAACAAAGGAGGGCACCATTGGAGGAACTGAGCTCTGTTGTGCATGCGCGTTTGCGTAACAAAGACAAAAGCTTTGAAGTATTGGGGTGTTGTAGGCGACTCTTGTACTCTTGTGTTGCTGATGTCCGCTGGGTGAGGGCCCAGTAAATGAATGCCACAGCACGGAACTTTCCAAACATTCATCAGCCTCATTGGTACCGAGAGCTGAGCCAGATGGTGGCATCTGGCCATGGAGGAATGTCAACAGAGTTCTCCAAAGATACCTTCGTGTCCAATGCAACCTTCCAAACCAATCCCAAATCTCCTTTCGAGTTCTTGTCATCGTATGTCATCGTGAGGTAAGAACTAAGATCACAACAAAGGACTCAATTTTCTGCTTGCAGGTTCTTCTGGCGCCTCGGTTGGTTTGGGCAAACGCGGCTTCAGCCACGGAATAGAACATGACAGCTTCGCCACATGACATGGCGAGGGTCCCGGGATCCCTTGCCAAATTCAACAAAC